TTCTTGAGCTGTCAGCAGCCGTCTGAAATGCCCTGCAGCTTCTTGATGACCTGTAATAGATTCCTCATCTTCATTTTCCCATCCAGCTCGGTGCTGGATTTTAATTTGCTTCTCATTGCTGGGACTTCGGACAAGGGATGGAGGGACAGGACACAGGGAATGGCTTCAAAGTGAAAGAAGGGAAATTTAGATGGGATATTGGGAAGGAATTCTTGGCTGTGAGGGTGGTGAGGCCCTGGAATGGATTTTCCAGAGAAGCTGTGGCTGCCCCTGGATCCCTGGAAGTGTCCAAGGTCAGCTTGGAGCAACCTGGGTAGTGGAAGGTGTCCCTGCCCATGGCAGCTTTCAGGTTCCTTCCAACCCAAACCATTCTGGAATTCCCTGATTCTGAAGATTGTTTTCAAGGTAGCAGATGCCACACCCTGCAGAGAGAGGTGTGTGTGTGTGGACTTTCATTCCCATTGGGATTGATGGGAGTTTATTGTCCTGACCTGTTCTGCCAGCTGATAACACTGTTGCTCTTGGGTGGTGGTTCCAGCAAGGCCTCTTGCAATCCCTGTAAGACCCGGAGCAACGGGGAGATCCGGGCAAATTCCCCTGGAGATCCATATGGGAATGGAGCCCTTAAGCCTCTCTCTTCCCTGGTTGCTGGCAGGGGCCTCTCCTGGCTGCACACTCATTAATTTGGAAGATACTTAACCTCCCTCTGGAGGTCTGGCCGGTGACCTCCCAAGATTAGCATCTCCTGCAGCGAAAAGGCTTTACCCTGTAATCCCCTCCTGGGAGAGCTCCTGGCTGGACGTTCCCCGGGGGATGTCCTGCGGGACGCTGGGCACGCTGGGCACACTGGGCACGGGGCTTTGCTCGGGCACAGGGCTTTGCTCGGGCACAGGGCTTTGCTCCTGCCAGAGCCCCCAGCCCAGCAGGGCCCTGGGGTGGGTGGCCAGGAGGGCTCTCTGGGCTGGCTGAGCCCTGCCCTGGGGGTTGTGGCCGTGCTGATCTTTGCAGAGGGATGAGAACACAAACAAATCCCCGCCGTCAGCAGCTCCGCTGAACGCCCTGCTCTCTTTGGGAACCTGCCCTGGGATCAGTGCAGGGAAGGTGCTACTTGCATGGGAGCCTTATTTTTCCTGTCAGAAGCAAGTTTGCTCTGTAAGTACGTTGTTAATGGTGTTTTTTCCTTTAAGCAAGACTTTGTAAGCTCTAATCCTACCCTGGTTTATATTATCAGCGCTCGTAACCGGATTTTCAGCTGCCACTGAGCTTTAATACTCACCAAAATTGCTTTACAGGTTTGTGGGATCTGTCAGATTTGCATTTTGTGTCGAGTGCATGATCTGCTGCTGGCACACATTAACGGGCACTTTCAGGATTGGTCCTTGTAAGACTTTGGCTTCTCCTTTTTGTTGCTTTTGTGTCTTTTGTTCGGAGATGGGAGGCAGAAGGTGTGTTTTGGGAGGGGCTGCAGGGCCGGGGCTGGAACTGAGAAATCCTCTTTTCTGAGTCCTTGGGATCACTTTTCTCATGTTCCAAGCTGGAGAAGGAGGAGCTGAATATTGGGATGGGGTTGGGATAAGGAATAAGCTGGAAGTGTCTGCTTTGTGGCTGTAGGGCAAAGAACTTGGAAAACATTTTGGGAATAGCAAGGGGGGTTTTGCTAATGTTTATTCTGACTCAGCAATCTTTGTTCTCTGGGGTTATCCTGGCACTGGCTGCAGGGAAGGGATGTTTGTTCCTGGCTCAGGAGCCCTGTCCCTGCTCCTGGCTTGTCTCCGGCCTCTTGGCCCCTTCCAGAGCTCTCTGGATCCCTCCTTACGTTGGGATTGCTGGGAAGCAGTGCTTGGATTGGGTTTTTAATTAGCACCTGTTATGAAAATGTTGTCTGAGGAACATGCAGGTCTTTGGTTTAGACTTCGAAGGACTTGGAGTCAGCTCCCAGCTGCTCCTGAACCAGCTTTGGTCTGGATTTTGGGGCTGTGCTGGAGCTGAGGCTTCCAAAACACCAGTGGTGTTGCTCAGCTTGGTCTCATCCAATGCCACATGTAAATATTTCCCTGGACAACTCTGGCTCCTGGTCATTCCTCCTCCAGCCCAGCGTGGGCTTGAGGGAGGTTCCCCTCCTCGTTTAAAGGCATGACCATAACCTGTCCACTGAAACAAAACCAGAGGGCAGGTTTGACTTCTGCTTTACCTTTACCACCCTCATTTTATGGGAGATCTCTAATCATGGCACTGTGCCAGTGTGTTTTTGTGGTCTAACAAACAGATTTATTTAAAATATTTAAAATTCAAGCAGTGTGTGCTCTACAGCTGCTCAGCCTTAGTGTGGGTCTAATCCAAAAATCAGCTTTGAAGAAGTTCTTGTCGAATGTTTTTAACTGCTCCCAGGCTCTTCCTCGCACTGTCAAGGACTTTCAGTGTCTCTCTTTTTTTTTTTTTTTCTTTAAATAGAGTTTTATAGACACACAAATGACAGGCTCCTGTCTGGAGGAATTTCCAGTACAATCTAATTAAATCCCTTGCTGTTCTGCACCACAGATAATCGTAAATAATAATAATGTCTCTTGACACATGTAGTGACACTTTATCTTCAAAGCACTTTGCAGACGTAAATAAAATAAAATAGTAAAAAAATCATATTATATTATAAAATAAAATATTAGTAAAATATTTCCTGCTTGAATTATCAGCCTTTCAGGTACTGCAGGACTTGGGGCTCGGGCAGCATTCCCTGGGCTGGATTTTCCATGGGACACAGGGGGTCCATGTGTCCCCCCGTCCTTTATCCCATGGAGGAGGCAGAGCTGATGGAGAGCCTGGCCAGGGAACCTTCTGTCTCCTCCTGCTGAAGTGAACCATGGCAAATGGAGCCATGGAGCAGAATGAAAGCTGAAAGCCACTGGCAGCAAAGCAGCATCCCCCTGCCAGGGCCCACTGCTCGGGGGGCTGCCAGGGCTCAGGGGGAGGGATAACCCCAGGGATGGGCAGAACTGCATTTGGTCAAGGGCAGGGGGAGGGATAACCCCAGGGATGGGCAGAACTGCATTTGGTCAAGGGCAAGGGGAGGGATAACCCCAGGGATGGGCAGAACTGCATTTGTTCAGGGGCAGGGGGAGGGATAACCCCAGGGATGGGCAGAACTGCATTTGGTCAAGGGCAGGGGGAGGGATAACCCCAGGGATGGGCAGAACTTCATTTATTCAAGGGCAGGGCTTCAGTGCTTTCACTGGATCCTGTCTACCTGGAAGCCAAGGAGTAGAAGATCTTGTGTTTACTGGAATTGCCCTTTGAATTCCCAATCCCTGGCTCTCTGAGGGCGTATAAGCATAAAAATAAACCACATTTTGTTTGTGTTTAGCTGGATCAGAGTCTTTATAGGATCTCATCTACAATTGTGAACTTCTGTTAGGGCATAACATTCCTTTAGAGGAAAGTGTCCCTGCCCATGGCAAGGGCTTGGAACTGGATGGGATTTAAGGTCCCTTCCAACCCAAACCATTCCAGGGTTCATTCCCTGATATCACTCATCTATGATATTTCTCCCCACAGCCAGTGCCCATCCCGTGGCGTGTCAGTGCCACACCTGGCAGGTGGCACTCTCCATATTTTGAATTTCAGTGGTGACAAAGCATTTTCCCAGCGTGTCCCTTGTGGGGTGGTTGTTGTGGGACACCTCAGTTCAAAGCTGGAGGAGAGAGGAAGAGGAGCCCGTGTCGTGCCCCCCGTGAGGGCACCGAGCTGCTGAGAGCTGAACCCTGGTGACACCACTGAACCCGCCCAGCCCTTCATGTGATGCCTCAAAGGGAGTTAAAGCTCATTAATTCTTCTGCTTTCCTGGGGATTATCTGGGAAGTCCCAGCTAAAGTGTATTTCTGTCATCAGCTCAAACAGGGACACGCAGCCCATCACACGCCTCTGACCCTGCAGGGCCCCAGCCCCCAGGGACAACGGGGTCCTGGGCCTCCAGGCTTTAATTGGAAATAATAGCAGGTGTTAATCACAGGCTCTGATGTGTTTCTGACTTCATGGAGTTAGAAACTCCCCCTGCTCTTCTGAGAACAAAATCTCTGAGCAAATTGCTGTTCCCACTGATTGATTTGTGCTGGTGGCATTGCCTTATTTTATCAGGGAAACACAAAAGCCATTTTTCCATCTTAGTCTTTCTCAATCACTTCGTTGTTGTTATTAGAATGTTCAGAGTCTCTTTGAATCTCTGCCCACTTTGCTGGTTTTGCCTACCTGGTACCAGGTTGTTGCTTTTATACACCAGCATTGCGTTTTTAATTAATTCTTCCCTTCTGGTCCCTCTCTGTGTTAACATTGGGGTTGCTTTTATTAACTTTTACTTAATTAGCCAGTTTTGCTATGAATTAAGGGTCATCTCCAGGGATATTCTTTTGAGGCACACTCTGAATTTCCTCTGCTGAGCTCAAGGTACTGTTAGCCTAAGTGAATGTAAAAATATTAAAAGCATTAAAAGATTTATTGGCTAAAGAGCAGAGAATGTTGTTTTAGGGGATGAGAGAAGGAGTTGGGGTCAATATTTTTGTGTTTCTTTCCAGAAGAAACTGGAATCAGTTGGAAACTCTCATGTTGTCCAGAGAAGAGTTGAAAAATTCAGGTTTCCTTAAAATGAAAACTAAGCTAAAAAACCACTAGTCTGGGTGTTAGTTTTGAGCCTTTCCACTGAGTTTGTCCAATTTAAAGCTTTAGGGCTTAAGGTTTTCTTTCTTTTGTGCAACAGAAGGATTTTGAATAGTACTGCACTTCAGTGTGAGTCCCTTCCTGATCTTACCTGTGTATGAACACACAGAATTCCCATCCTCCTGTTTCTTACCTTTGAAGAGTTGGATCAGAGCAGTAATAAATAAATGGCTATTCCAGTCTCTGGTTTGACTCCCAGCTCCTGTTCCCTGTCGGCCTCCGAATGTCACATCCTCCAATAGTCTGCTCCAAGCATTTCAGTGTTTTGACTGTGTCTCTTTCTCCTCCCCTTTCAGTGTTCCCAGGAGAAATCATGGATGAAAAGCTGTCTTACAAGGAGTTCCTCGACCGCAACGACTCCTGGGCGACGGACGAGCGGGAGCTGCGCTTCGACCCGCAGCCCGTGTTCAAGCCCATGGAGATGGCTGGTAGGGCTCCACTGCTTGGGAATCCCCTGATTTTAGGGGCTGTGGGAGGTGGTGAAGGGCTG